CCACCTCTAATCCAACCCTAAGAAGATACCGTAGAAGGAAGCATGGCTTAGGCCTGAGTTCCTTTGCGAGCAGAGCTTCGTCCCTGCACCTTTCTGCCTCCGTTTCTCCACCTGCCAAATGGAGAGAACTTACCTCATAGACTTTAAGGTCCGAAGGGACCGTCATGGTCATCTAGTCTGACCTCCTGCACATCACAGGCCACAGAACCTCACCCACCCCCTCCTGTAATAGACCCCTAACCTCTGGCTGAGTCACTGAAGCCCTCCCACCATTTACACTAATTTAAACCTGCAAGTGACCCGTGCCCCACGCTGCAGAGGAAGGCGAAAAACCCCCAGGATCTCTGCCAATCTGACCTGGGGGGGAATTTCCTTCTCAACCCCAAATGTGGCAATCAGTTAGAGCCTGAGCATGTGGGCAAAACCCACCAGCCAGACACCTGGGAAAGAATTCTCTGTAGTAACTCCGAGCCCTCCCCATCTAGTGTCCTATCACCAGTTACTGAAGATGGTTGCTGCTAGCAGTCGTAGATTGGCTACATGCCATTGTATGCAGTCTCCTCATACCATCCCCTCCATAAACTTCTCAAGATCAGTCTTGAAGCCAGTTAGGTTTCCCCCCCAGCCCCCTGCTCCCCTTGGAAGGCTGTTCCCAAATTTCATTCCTCTGATGGTTAGAAACCTTCGTGTTAGTTCAAGGCTAAACTTGTTGATGGCCAGTTTATATCCATTTGTTCTTGTGTCAGCATTGGTGCTTAACTTAAATAACTGCTCTCCTCCTTGGTATTTATCCCTCTGATGTATTTATAGAGAGCAATTGTATCTCCACTCAGCCTTCTTTTGATTAGACTGAACAAGCCAAGCTCTTAGAGTCTCCTCTCATAAGGCAGGTTTTCCATCCGTTGGATCATCGAAGTCTCCCTTCTCTGCACCTGCTTCAGTTTGAATTCATCTTTCTTAAACATGGGAGACCAGAACTGCGCACGCTATTCCAGATGAGGTCTCCTCAGGGCCTTGTCTAATGGTAGGAACACTTCTCTGTCTCTACTGGAAATACCTCGCCTGATAGTTCCTAGGTCTGCATTAGCCCCTTTCACAGCCGCATCACATTGCTGGCTCCTAGTCAGCCTGTGATCAACCAATACACCCAGGTCTTTCTCCTCCTCTGTTGCTTCCAACTGATAAGTCCTCCACTTATAGCAAAACTTTTTCTTGTTAGTCCCTAAATGCAAAACCTTGCACTTTGCACTATTAAATTTCATCCCATTTCTATTACTCCAGTTTACAAGGTCATCCAGATCATCTTCTAGGATATTCTGGCCCTCCTGCATCTTGCCTAGACCTCCCAACTTTGTGTCATCCGCAAATTTTATTTTTGTGCCAATAAAAATGTTAAGTAAGATTGGTCCCCAGACCGATCCCTGAGGAACGCCGCTAGTAACCTCCCTCCAGCTTGACAGTTCACTTTTCAGTATGATCCGTTGTAGTCTCCCCTTTAACCAGTTCCTTATCCACCTTTCGGTTCTCATCTTAATCCCCACACTGCAACTCAGAAACCTTTATTACGCTCAGTGGAGCACTTGAAGGTAAGTATTCCCACCATTTGGATTTAAATTGATTTGTGAATTCATCCCTTCTTTGTATCGTCGATGTATCTGTTTTAGTGACTGGGGGTCCCCTTACCGTAATATCAGAGCTCCTCACAGTCTTTAATATTTAGCCTGACAACACCCTGAGGCATTTGCCTAAAGTCACACACGGCGGCTGTGACAGAACAGGGATCTGAAATGGAATCAATCAAAGAGAGCTTCAAATACTGCATTGGTAGCAAATGGTGGTTCGTTGCTGCCCAGTTTTCCCATGAAATCTTTCCATTGTCGCTGTTGTCCACTCGTCTTTCCTATGTAGCCAAGTTGTTAAAGCACCTGATTACAAGATAGTTACGTATAATCTGCTTTTAAAAAGCACCGAGTAACTTCTATTAAAAAAACCCTTCTCTTTAGAAACGTATGGCTACTTTTCTACCGTGTCATTCTCGTGCTGTGCAAAATAATGTGTCGCCAATTAATTTCGGATCCATTCATCAGTCCCTTGTTATCCATTATCAAAATAGCAAACAAAGATGACGCTAGCTACTGGTTAATAGTTACATTACATTGGCCAAACAACTGGCAGTCCTGCCATCATGGACTGTGATCTCAACAGCTCAAGCTCTGAGCTAAGCAGGGGTGTATTGGATTAGCCCTCGGCTGGGAGACTGCCAGCGCGGAATGAAATGGTGTTGGTTAGAAGGGGATGGTCTTTCATCTGAGTCAGTGTTAAAACCTTGCCCCAGCATATTGTTCGGGGCTCTTTGCAGTGTCTTTCAGATAAGGCCCTGATCGCTTCTTTTCACTTAGACTCAACAGCGCTATTCACAAGAGTAGGAGCGTTCACCCGTGTGCTCTCGCCACATTCTGCTGTGGGTCACCCCATTCCACCTATGTAATAGTTCAAATCCCTAGCGCTTACATAGCACTTTTCATCCATAGATCTCCAAAAAGCACTTTGCAACGGTCAACGATGTAAATTCCCCCCACCCCACCTCCTGCCGTTTCAACTGGATGCGGAGGTCTTCCCCCCCCTTTTCTAAACTACTGTATAACTAGGATTGGCAGAATTTGGTTTTTATTTTTTTTCTAATTTGACAATGTTTGTTTTTTTATTATTCTTAGTATTTTTTTCTATTTTTAGATGGTTTTTATTTTGATAGGGTTTGGGCAGCACTGATGGGGGGGGGTGGGGAAGGTCCTAGGCTGCCAAGGGGCTCGAGAGACCAGGGCACAAGGTGTGGGGGAGGCTGCAGTCCTGGCAGGGCAGAGTAGAGACCCACTGCACTCCTAGCTGGTGAGTGCGGGGGGGCGGATCCTTGACGGCACGGCTTCAGAGGGCTCCCTGCACTGCCACAGGAGCCATTCAGCAGTGGGGTCGCCTCTCGCCTGCAGCTGGGCGTTCGTTGTCCTGCTTGCAGTCCTGGCGTGTCTGATCTGCTCTACCCTGCCAGTCCTGAGGCGGCTTGGGGAGACCGCTGCAGCTCTGCTGTCACGGACCCACTTGTTCACTCTTGTGACAGCCGGTGACAACGGCTCCCTGCAGGCATGCTGACTTATCCATTGATTTTTATTTTTTTTTCATCAACTTAAGTGTGTCAGTTGAAATCGACATTTATCAACAGTTATCCATTTAAAATCGAATCCTGCCAAGCCTCTATGTAACGTTGCTTGGCACTGCTAAATGAGCTGCCGTGCGCTAACCCAGAGGTGGCTGCATTTTGATGGTAGGTGAAGGGAATTCCTCCAAGTAGTGCACATAAAACGCTTGTGGGGTGGAAAGTTGCTATATAAACGGTTGCTAACTGGTTACCAAGGTGCAGGGGATGGGCTTTCACTGTACGTCCCTGTTTCCATTTCAGCACGATACGTGTCCAGTCTGCAGGAAGAGCTTAAACGGCGAAGATTCCACTCGGCAAACACAGAACTCGGAGGCCTCAGCAAGTAACAGCTTTAGCAGCGAAAGCCAATTACACGATCGATGGACTTTCTGAAGCTTGAGGGCTTCCCGGGGGCTTTGGCCGTAGTATTCTTACTACAGTTGTAAATTGTATTATAATTAAAACCAACACAACAAGAGTAGCAGGAAATATAGGGGAGGGAACCCAACCCGTGATATTACTGCAACGAGTACTGTCCCTTTCCAAAACTTAAACTAGCATCTCCGAGCGAATCACATCTCCATCAGAATTGCCTCTTTTTAGTCCTGAATTCAGAGTCTTTGAGTGATTGATTTGATTTTTATACTTGTGAAACCTTAATTAGCGTGGTTCTTTCAAAGTGTGTGAGGAAGGGAGCATTTCCATCTCTACAGGCTCACTGGCGTCCTGAGCGCTGTCATGCAGCGTTCAACATTGAGATGGAATTCCCCCCGCCTCACCCTCAGTGTTCCTAGATAAAATGCCATGGAGAGGTATGGGGCCGGGGGGAATACTCCCTCTTGGTAACCTGTTTGATCAGATGGGAGCAGCTGCTAAGGGATGCAAACGAGGATTTTGACACATCTCCCTCACCCCATTTCGCTCCCCTAAGACAGAGTGGGTGAAATTGAATCCATTAGTGTTTACCTCTTCTCTTGAATTCAAGTGAAATATACACAGTGTTCTAGGTTACTTATGGGGGTGGGAGTGAGAATTTATCAGATAAAAGGGGATGAAGAATCTCTTTGGATCAAAATGTCTTGCCCAAGGCTTTTTTGTGGGGGGTGATTTTGGGCCGGGAGATGCAGAGACATCCAGAATTCTGGGGAGCAGGCATGCGCAGAACATTTTTGTCTCATGACCTGATTTTTCTAGTCTTTATCCATGTGCCGATGTTCCCGGGTTTGTCCAAAACGGGTTGTTTGGAAATTTTTTTTTTTTTTAAACCCATCTGGACAGTAATTCATGTAGGATCCTTAACTGACTTGTATCATATGGACCACTTTAAGGCATCCTTCAGGTAAACAGACTTAACTGTGCATAACTGTTTTAATGGCTGATTCTTCAGTGTTTAACATGAAATCTTAATTCTCCTAGACCGATAACATTAAGAGAATCTCTTTTTTTTATTTTTCACTTCTGTAACGTTTCATCCATGTTTAGCTCTTGTTTTTATCGTCCAAATCATGTTTGAGCGTAGAATGCCCACTAACCCACCTGTGGCAGTGTTAAATCAGTGGATCAGCCCGGAGAAAGGAGGAAAGGAGAGGGTAGGTCGCGTTTAAAATTGTTGCCACTTCATTGCTGTAACAGTGTACCAGGTACACTTGATTTAAACTAGTGTTTCGTTTGCTATAAAGACAAATAAAGGCCTTTCTAAAGAAGATCAAATGTTGAGAGGATTGCTGGGGGGCTTCCAGGGGTGGATGAGGGATTTTGAAAGGTACCAAAAGAATAACCGGAGACAAAATTAGGCAGAAGTGTTGCAACTTCTTCATTAAAGAACATAGGGTCTAGCTTAAAGGTGTTCTTTATGTTAAGGGCTTAATCCAGGACCGTTGGGAATCAGGGGAAAGACTCTGGGTTTTGGAAACTGACCTATATTCTGAATTGCAAAGTACCAGACTTAGGGTAAAATTATAAAAGCACCTAAATCTTTTTTTCCAAAGTGACCTGGGATCTCATGGATACGGTTTTGCAGGGTCGCTAGTGGCTTTGGGTGGCCAACTTGAAGGCACCCTAAAGGTGCCTGATTTTTCAGAGAGTCGGTCCGTAGCACTTTCTGAAAATTGGGCCCCCTCCAGGCGTCGCGAGTGGCACTCCCCGCAGTTGGGGGGGTGAAAATCTTGACCTGTCCTATTGAAAGTCAGCGGGACTTCAGCTCTGAGGCACCTAGGTCGCTGGTGAGAATGGCGCTCGGGCACTTGATACTTTGGTCTTGACTGTGTTGGTTAGAAAGCTGCGCCCTGGTCACGGCCCAGTGGAACAATCCTAGCGGACGCTGTTGTTAAGCCTGGCTCCGGAATACATTGCAGCGTGCGCGGAGTCGAGATTTGAGGCACTGAAGCTGACGGCCCCTCGTTGGAACAGGATGGGGGTGGGACTCCTGGCAGGGTGTTCTTGTGGAAGGGACTCCGCTCTGGAGCTTGCATCCTGGTCAGGAATGAAAGAGGTCCCAGGGCTCAAGGAATCGTTTTACTTTCGTAACTGACGCAGCAAGGCCGGAGGAGCCAGGGCTGATTTCCCCCTGGTTAAGGTTGGGACCGTCTTGCTGCGCCCACACCTAGATCTATTATAAAAGGTCAGGATGCGGTAGAATTTTCCTAAGTGTTGCCTGCTCTAGGAAACCCCGCCCTCAGCACAGGCTGACCTCGGCACCCCTCTTCCCCACCCGATCCAGAGAATGTGCCACACAGCTCAGTCTAGCGCGCTGCCCGTAATGTGCATTGAATTGTTCGGCGCCGTCCACGCGAGGGATCTCCTGCTGGGTGAGGATGGTTTATCTTCCTGGCTATAAACAGGGCTGATCTGAAGCATACTGAAGTCAATGGGAGCCTGCAGCAGGTCTTGAGATGGGGAACCGGGAGCTGCAAAGTCCCTTTTTAGAGCCTCTCCCGAGAAGCTGAAGCTGCAGCACTAGTGGGAGTTGTTAGCAGGATTGGAACACCCCTTCCCTGGCTAGCGAGGATCATGTGTGCATACTCGAGAGCCGTGTTAGGCCCTTCAAGTGAAGAACTCCATAAGGGACAAGTGTGTGCAGACTGGGTCTCAGACACACAGCCCCTGTGCCGCTGCTGAGGGAAATGCAATTGGCACTGCTAGTGGTTCTTATTCTAGTGTGGTCGGGGCTTAAATTGGTGGGGGGGAGAACGGCTGGGATACAGGAGGGTTTCTATGAGCGATTCGTATGGCCTATGAGAGCCTTTAATGAATAAACGTCGATTCTGGGAGATAGCAGAGGAGGCGAACATTTGGTATTTTATTATTTAACTGTTTTATTGTGCTAACGCCTAGGGTCCAGCTAGATTGGGACCCAGTTGTTCTAGGCATTGTATAAACCTACCACCTGCCCTTTTTGCAATCTAAAAGTATATTGGTGGTGGGAGGAAGCATCAGGAAATTCATGCTGTGGAGTCTATTCTGTTCTATTCTCTGCGTTCTTAGACCGCCCTCATCGTCACTGTCGCATCCGAGTGCCTTCTACTCATGCATTAAGGGACGTGACTAATATCTGCCACAGGAGGCTTGGTTTGGCTTTTGCAAAAGCATCTCTGAGTCTCCCGTTGCGTGGTGGGATCTAATCTCTCACTTGATGGTGCTGTATGCTAAAGCATAATCACCTGCAAATACATCTCACTGCCAACTACACACCCTCTAGACTTGATATTCAGGCTCTCTCATTCCTGAAACCCTCAATCACTGAAAATTGTTGGGTATTCCGTTGAAATCAAGCTCTGATTTTAAAATAAGAAATGAATCCCCAGCCAGGCAGACTGATGTTGTTTAACCTCTTGCAACCTAACCAGATGGTACCTTAATATTTTCTCCAATCTTTCTCATCTTCTATTACTGGCACTTCCAGACATTGTTTGCTACTTCACAGTCCCCTAGAACTAAAACCCTATGTTTGCACAGCAGGTCTAATTCTGCACCTTGATCATGGTGGCTGTTCAGTTGGGCGGGGTGGATTTCCGATGCTCACGCAGCTTAATGTCAATATTGTGGCGTATTCTTTTAATGTGTGTGTTTTCCTGGTTCAGTTCTGATTTCACAGACAAGTCACCCATGTTTTTTGCCCAATCAGCTGCCACGTGGACGTGTCACAAGCGATGTGCTAAGTGTTTTCAGTTAAGACTCGACTCCCCTTGACTGGGGATCTGACTAGGCCAGACTTCGGAGGCCAAATTTTCAAAATGTTTGGCACCCAACGCACAGAGTCGTCCTACTGAACGCCTGGCCACTTATTTCGGTGCTTACATGGGAGGTGAGCTCTTCTGTATATCTGGCAGTTTAGTACCTGCAATTAACCTCTTGTCAGTTGTGTCACAGGAGAAGTCTATAAGGGGCACCAGTGCTGCTCTTTGTATGACTGTTCACCATAGGGGTTGTGTGGGCAACAGCACCTGTTGGTTTTGACTGGGAGTATTTGCTGAAGGGGGGATAATTGCATCTCCGCTGCTGAGTGTTTGTCAAAGACACACAGGCACTTCAAAATGTTTTGCTTCCCATTTCACCTTGACTGCAGATCTACCTGTCAACGCTTCCTTATTTACAGAAATCTGCTTGGATTGTTCCACCCACTTCTGTGTCTTCAGTGGTTTTTTTTAAGTGCTGCAGCGTGCCTGCATCCTCACATAGGTGTCATGAAAGGTCGAAGGGTTTAAATGATCTGTGTTGTGCGAGCGAGCTGAGTAGAATTGGTCCATCTTGTGGCAACGAAAGGCCAAATTGTATCCTTAGATACAGGGATGGAAAGTGGGGCTAACTCTGCTGACTTCGGTTGAATTATTAGCTTTGCCCTGCTGTAACTGAGAGCAGAATGGCGCTCTGGCTCACCTACTTCCATAGCAGTATTACTAGTGTGAATCGTTGGGGTCATCCTGACCATTTATTTCTCCATTCCTCCCCCTGCCCGTTGATGAATTTCACAGGCCTCCGGAAGCAGCTGCTCAAGAAAGAGACAGACGTTTGTTTGCTTGAAGCATTGACATTGAATAATTTAAAAGGGAAAGGAGAAAGCCAGACTGAGCTTATCCACAAGCTGTTTAGATAATGGCGGTTCTAACACACTGAATGCAAAGGAAATTTGGTGAAAGGGGGCACGTGGACTGCGTGGTATATGTGTGTTGGAAGGGGTGGGATAATGGAAGGATGATTAATTGATCCATCCTACAGCTAATTCGGAGGGTAAAGTTATTGGAGGTAGGGGCAGAGAATGAGCCTGTGTTTGGTCTGTAATTAATGACTCCGTGGTGGGGAAGCGGGCTATATCGTGAAGACCTTCTTATGACCAAGGTCATGTCCACACTAGGGGGCTGTAGCACCATCATAGCTATGCCACTATAGCCTCCATAGTATAGACACAACCTCAAGCCACGGCAGGGGTTTTTCCGTCAGCGTAGGAGTGCCACCTCCCTGAGCAGTGGTCGATGGAAATATTCTTCCGTCCACCTACCTGCATCTACACGTAAAACCTAGATCAGTTAATCGAAGTTTTAAGTGGAGACCAGGCCCAAGATCTAAATCCCACTGCAAAAGAAACAGACTTCATTAAAGGTTGCACCACAGTTGTAATACAGAAATCAAACGTGACTAGTAATGCGGGGTGCCTCCATTTTTGGGGAGCCTCACCTTAGCCGCCTTAAAAAGAGCCCTAATTTTCAGAAAGTGCAGAACCCCCTCCCCATCTCCCTGAAAATCAGGGCTCCTTTCAGGCATCTCAAATTGAGAACCCGGAAATAGAAGTGCCCCCAAATCGCTACTCACTTGAGAAAATCTTGGCTGTCAATTTTTTAAGGCTAGAAGGGACCAGTATAATAATCTAGACCAGTGATGCGCAGACTGAGGCTCGGGAGCCTCTGCGGCACATGATATTAAAACACAGTGTGATTGGTTAATAACTTGCATTTAATCAGGATACTTTTCCTACGTTATTAACCAATTGTAGTTGATAAAATAATACTTGGTCAGTCATTTTGCTTTGAGAATCATATATAAAAATAATAAAACATACTCAAATGAAACAATGAATTCACACTACCGTGGCTCTGTTGGGTATTGTTGATTGCCAATTTGGCTCCTGGACCAATGAGGTCTGAGTATCGCTGATCTAGACGGACCTCCCGAATAACAAAAATGCTAAACGATTTAGAAAAGCTAGCCTAGGAGGAAAGACTAAAAAAAAATTCTGCAAAAAGAACAGTGGGCTGTAGCCCACGAAAGCTTATGCTCAAATAAATTTGTTAGTCTCTAAGGTGCCACAAGTACTCCTGTTCTTTTTGTGGATACAGACTAACACGGCTGCTACTCTTAAAAAAAA